GTGAAATGAATTTGTATTAATTATGAATTAAAATTAATAAACAAATCTTCTAAAATTTAAAAATATAATTTTTTTTATTTATATATAAATTTTATTTATTTTTTAAGTATACATTTGTATTACTATATCATTTAAATAATTTTAATATTTGTTAAGTCATTCGATTCAATCCCAATTAAACAATTAAATTTAGAATCTCTCCATATTCTATCATGAGTTTGATTTTCCCAGCCTTGATCATAAGACCTATAACTTGCGACATTAAAATGACAAAAATCATTTCAAGACCCAATATTGAGGGGGAATCCGGTCCTACTCTTCAGCTGCAAGTAATCAAAAGTTCCTTATAATTCAATTTTACATCTAAAAATTACTTTAAGAAGCAATAAAAAATCATCTCAAAAAAAGCCTAAAATACAAAACAGCCAGTAGCCACCCACCCTTTATAATTCAGCTTTAATAAATAGCAGGCATTCCTAGAATATTGTGAAGGCAGCCCCTTCAATTATCCCAAGAATATCATGAATTTATATTAAGAGGCTTTTGAAGGCTCGTCGTTGGGCAAATCATCTTCGTCATGGTAGATATTCTCTGCCATCTGCCATATCTGAAGGATGTTATCTTCAGCAACGCTGGCAATGACCCAATCCTCACAAGGGTTCCAGGAGAAATCAGAGATCTTGCTAGTGTGTCCGCCATGGATAAAAAGCAACTCTGGTGGGCCATCTTCTGCATCCTCAGGTGTTTGTTCTTCGTCAATCCTATGGATAAGAGAATGTAAATGCAAGTATTATATTATTAATGATACAAAATTACAAATAAATGTAACTGGGTAATTTAAAATACTATGATAATCTTTTATTGCAACTATTTAATTATCCAAAATCTATTTTGTAAATCCAATGAACCCATTCAATCCGGAATATACATATGAGATGAGGTGTATGGGTCTGCTTCTTGTCTTTGGCTGACCTCATGGAGTTGGCAAATGTGCATTGAATGGGCTAAAATAATTTGAAGATGGTCCCGCAGCATATGGATATACTTCTCATGCTATTAAAGATCCACCCGCATAAAAGTTCGATGGCATGAGATGACCTCCAGAGCCTATGTACATAGAATGCACTCAATGCCTGAAAGTTGTCAGCGTGTACATCAGTGGCAGTAATTCTCCTGAGAGAATCTAAAATTGATCTCCTTGACCCCTTAGTATCGGTTTGGTGTCTATATGGCCGCTCAGCAGGGGAGGACTAATGCTCATGTGTATCAAATACACTACAATCAATATACAATGATCTGTCAACCTTGCCTGCTAACTCAACAATATCATCTATCGCTTTATTGCATCAAGCTTGCATTCTACCCATGACCACCTGCAAATGGGTGGACGATATCCCGACTACGATACATAGTAGTTTGTCTGAAATAAAAATTATAATTAGTGTGAATTACAAATCTCATAATATAAGCATTACTTATAGCAAGTTAACGCATCACCAATCTTTCCCCGGGTGATCTCGAATGTAATTTTTTATTAATAAATATATTGAATTATTATTTATATGTCATCCTTAACTATTTAATCCAGCTAACATATGATCCCAAACTCACACTCTCGATTGCGCGTCGATCACGTCTCTCCTAGGTGGGTTGAGTGCGCCAAATGAATCGTCGCCATCACGCAAGTGCTGGATCCAAGTTTGTGAGGAGTGCGCCAAAAGCCTGGGTGAATTCCCCTAGGCTCACGCGACATGCAGATTACGCCAACTGAATTGGCATTTTCTTTTAGCAAAAAATTTAGCCAACTTTGCTCCTTTTTAAATAAACATGTGTGAAAATGAAGCTTTTAATCTGAGCCTAATATAGAACAAAATTATCAATGAATAACCTACAAGCACTTCAAATAAGATAAAAAATGCTTCTTTTTTTTTAGTTCAATCGCTGGCCTCTGCCCCAAGCTATACCCTCGCTTATTAAAGGCAATAAGAAATGCAAGGAAGATCTCTTTATATAAAGTAAACATTAAGCTCAAGAAGAGAAATAGAAGATCTCTTTTTATTAAGAGAGTTAAGTCTTTTTTTTCCTACTCGACCTTGAAGGCAAAGTCAGTGTGAAGGGGTGGATAATGTACAAAATTACAAATAAATGTAACTGGGTAATTTAAACTACTATGATAATCTTTTATTGCAACTATATAATTATCCAAAATCTATTTTGCAAACCCAATGAACCCATTCAATTTGAAATATACATATGAGATGAGGTGTATGGGTCTGCTTCTTGTCTCTTGCTGACCTCGTGGAGTTGGCAAATGTGCGTTGAATGGGCTAAAATAATTTGAAGAAGGTCCCGCAGCATATGGATATACTTCTCATGCTATTAAAGATCCACCCGCATAAAAGTTCGATGGCATGAGATGATCTTCAGAGCCTATGTACAAAGAATGCACTCGATGCCTGAAAGTTGTTAGCGCGTACATCAGTGGCAGTAATTCTCCTGAGAGAATCTAAAATTGATCTCCTTGACCCCTTAGTATCGGTCCGGTGTCTGTATGGCCGCTCAGCAGGGGAGGACTAATGCTCATGTCTATCAAATACACTACAATCAATATACAATGATCTGGCAACCTTTCCTGCTAACTCGACAACATCATCTATCCCTTTATTACATCGAGCTCGCATTCTTCTCGTGACCACCTGCAAATGGGTGGACGATATCCCGACTACGATACAAAGTAGTTTGTTTAAGAAAAAAATTATAATTAGTGTGAATTACAAATCTCATAATATAAGTATTACTTATAGCAAGTTAACGCACCACCAATCTTTGAATGTAATTTTTATTAATAAATAAATTGAATTATTATTTCTATGACATCCTTAACTATTTAATCCAGCTAACAAATGAGCCCAGACTCACGCTCTCGATTGCACGTCGATCATGTCTCGCCTAGGTGGGTTGAGTGCGCCAAACGAATCGTTGCGATCACGCAAGTGCTGGATCCAAGTTTGTGAGGAGTGTGCCAAAAGCCTTGGTCAACATGCGGACTACGCCAACTGAATTGGCGTTTTCTTTTAGCAAAAATTTTTGACAAATTTGCTCCTTTTTAAATAAAAATGTGTGAAAATGAAGCTTTTAATCTGACCCTAATATAGAACAAAATTATCAGTGACTAACCTACATGCACTTCAAAGAAGATAAAAAATGCATTTTTTTTTGTTATGTCGCTTGCCTCTATCCCATGCTATGCCCTCGCCTATTAAAAGCAATAAGAAATGCAAGGAAGATCTCTTTTTATTAAATAAACATTAAGCTCAAGATATAGAAATAGAAGATCTCTTTTAATTAAGAGAGTTCAGTCTTTTTTTTCCTACTCGACCTTGAAGGCAAAATCAGTGTGAAGGGGTGGATAATGTACAAAATTACAAATAAATGTAACTGAGTAATTTAAACTACTATGATAATCTTTTATTGCAACTATTTAATTATCCAAAATCAATTTTGGTTCAACTTTAATGTTTCAATTTACCACTACTAAATAATACCTATATTGGAGGATTGAGAATGTCACATCATTTAAAATTCCTCTTAAAGCACTAGTCTCTATTTGATAACTTTCTTTATTAAATTTGAGGTATACATCAACAATTATTTCACTATATTGTGTGACTACACTTTGCCCTACAATTACCTTGTTCAAAAAAAAAAAAGAAACCTTTTTTTCTAGTTCACAATGTGTCTCTTTTTAACTTAGTAGTAATGGTCTCAATAAATGAATTAATTCAAACCCAACTCGAAAAACCAAAGTTCGAGTTGTCCCGATTACAATTCAAATAGAGTTCAAGTCTAAAATTTTAACCCGACTAAATTTTTGGTCTAGATTCAGGTTAACCCAAAATTGATTCAAAATCAATCTGATTTTAGGTTAAATGGGTCATGTTAAGTTAAACAAGTCGAATTCTAAGTAAAATAGGTTGTACTGATATAAAAAAAATGCATGATCCATATGATGAGTCGAACAAGTTGGGTTCAGAATAGTTAGGTTTGGATCAGATATTTTGACCCATGCAATGTATGAGTTGAGTTTGTGTTAAGCATATTCGGATCGGGCCAGATCTGAACTCGCACCATCAACCCAAAATGATAACCTACACAAAGCCAAGTGGAAGGGATAACATGTAATGATTATAAAACCGAGCCCAAATAGTCGATAAGACACCTTTTGCTCGTGATAATATTTAGGTAAAATTGTACTTAGATCCTACTCCCAACAGTATTTTTTTTGAGAATCTTCGATGGAAATTGTCTCTTGCAATGTGATCATTGACAAACAAAAAAGCAAAAGAGAGGGCTAGAGGATAGTAACCTAATGGATAAAGTTCTTTATAGAAAGGTACCAATAGGGTTCAACAACAGAAAATGATGCGCAGGCTGAGAATTATTGAAGGGGAATGAGATAGATATGCTTAATAAACAGAAGCCGATGCAGAATGGGCAGATAACAGATACAAGAATAAAATGGCCACAGGTCTTCTGATCAGTCCACCCCATGCTTTTCTGCTGGTCGAGGCTTGGAAATTATACAGAAGACATTAGTAAAACTTCACATCAATTGATGATCACCAAACTAAATGCTATTTGAATATTTTTGTATGGCACTGGATAAGGAAACCTTTGTAATTCATTCTAATATAGGACCATTGTGGGATGGACAAAAAAAAAACTCAGCACGCAGCTTTGAAACATATACCTGCTTAGATCCCACACCATAAGCCTCCTACCCAGGCAACAAGATGCAAGTATCGTCTCATTCTTGGGACTCCAGCCAACTTGGAAAACCTCCTCTCTATCAGGTAAAGAAGTTTGGAAAAGTTAAGCACATGCAGGATGACCCTTTGTTAAAGAGGAGTAAATGATGCTTACTTGTGACAGTCAAAAGTATGTAGGGCGGTGCTAATTTTGCGAAGGTCAAAAAGCTTAACAGTTTTATCAGTTGAACCTGTCGCTACAACCCATTCATTGAATGGATTGAATGCCAGGCAATTAACCTGCACAAAAAGGATCACAAATCATGAGCAGAACATCTTCATCCAATAATATAGCAGATTTAAAAGACGATGACAACAACAAGTCTTTATCCCATTATATGGGATCGCTTACACAAATCTTTTTTCTTCACTGTGCCCTATTAAGGATCAAATTCTCATTTAAATCTAATAGAAAAAATATCATTTTTTAATAATTTCTAAACAAGTCTTTTTATTTCTGTCTTTATCTTTCTTAATATAAGCTATATCTAAGATATCTACTCTCCTAAAAGAGCATCAGAATGCTGATGTTTTAAGCGACCAAACTATCTAAGACGACTCTCTAATCTTATCTGTCACTATAGCTACTCCAACATTCTCATATATATACTTGTTTCATATTCTATCTCTATGAAAAAAAACTAAAATAGCAACAACAATATATGAAATTTTTATAGTGGTAAAAAAAGTGCTGGGCAAAATCATTTTAATCTCAATAGAGATCAACAAAAGCAATACTAAACACTAGGCTGATGCCTCACAATAAAAGTTTGAAATAGTAAGCATTAAAATTAAAAAACAAGAATTAGATACTTAACAGCATATACTAAAGTGATATATAGGATGATATGAAAGATTTGGAAATCAGAAAAAGAATAATTTGATCTTGAAAGAAAGAGCACCTCTCCTAACAAATAAGTAAAGATGGTATCAAATTACCCACAATCCATGATCTTTCTTTCTCAAAATGGCATTCATATATTTGAGTTATCAGAAAGTCTCCTTTTTTTTTGGAGCCTCAAGAAAATACAACATCAAAACTTCCTTAAGTTCCAGTTCACTGCAGCATCTAGGAGCGCCAGTAGAGTATTGTTCAACAACAATACCCACTAGGTGCTTCCTTAGCTAAGTCAAACTTCACTTGGAGCTTTCTTTGACGAGTTCATAGAGAAGGGATAGCTAAAAAGCAATTTTCAGTGTAAGAAATATAAAGACAGCAAATTGTCTAATTCTAGCAAGCCAGTGTCAAATGTACAGATTGCATTTTATGAGATTCAAATTGAGGTTGAGAATCGTTTCTTTAGGTAAATGTTGGTATATTTGATGCAGGTTTAGTTATGGAAGACAAAGAACTGTTGGATCGATGTTATCAGCTGAATTTAAGCCATTATTCCTATATTATTGTGTTCAATTGAGGCCATAAATATGTATGATTAAGTATTATCACTGTAAATATTTGTATTTAAGAAGCAAACGTAGGTTCCTCATTAGGTCAAATCTGACCACTGTAGTTACTAAAACTTAACTTCATATCATGCCAACTATTCTAAATACAATGATAAGAACCCTCTGAATGAGACCAAGGAGCCCGATTAATATGTTCAGTCATCTCATCTACAGTAGTGCTCGTCCTCCAACAATGTGACCTTGTTGCCTTCAACGGCTGATCTCACAACCTTGTCTCCCTCAGGCAACACTATTCCTCAACAGCACTAGAACCCTGTCAATCTCATCGACCTCAACTTGCTCAATAGAGCAATCATTTCACCTATAACACCCAATCTTGTTCTCCTCATCTCCACCTATAAGGATCAATCTCTTCTAAGCCACACATGTTATCTTTGAAAGATTCCTCCAACAAGCGATCTCAACACCTCCAGCGCTTGATACCTCCAATGATCCACCCACCCATGCCTCATTTCACTTGTCACCATTAGCATGCCATCCACATCCTAAAATCGAGCTCTGGTCTTGCAGGGTTGATCTCTTGAGAATCTGGTCTGATTTAGGGAATTGTCGTGTGGCACCATTCTTTTTTAAGATTATTTCTCAACAATCATCTCTTGGGATTCTCTCTCGCTCCATGAAATTTTTAAAGGGCATCTATCAACCATATCAAATAACAATTTATATATTTTTTAGTGCTCGTCTTATAAAAAAACTATTATAATTGAAATTTTCAATTTCCACCATCTCTTATGGTAAAAGAATTGTGGGTACGCATTGATGCTAGTAATCATGCCTAGGGGTGTAAATGAGCTTAGCCGGCTCGAACTTGACTCGATAACAATCTCGCGAGCCGAGCTTATCGAGCCTCGAGCTCGAGTTCAAGCATGGCAGGGTTCGACTCATGAGCTTGCAAGCTGGCTCACAATAATTATTAGAAATTAAAAATAATAATATCGTTTACAATTTAAAAAAATAATATAATAAGCAAAGTTGGAACTTCCAAGAAGACATCATCAGTATTAGGTTGCAGTAGGTTGCACCACTATAGCTTTTTCTTAAAATATTAATATTAAAATTTCAGCCACCTTCCCAAGAAAAAAAGAAACGCATCACTTTAATTACTCACAGCAAAGCCTACTTATTCTTCACTGAAAAAGGAAAAGTTGCTTAAGAGAAAGTGAGCTGCTAGCAATGCAACTCTTCTTTTTCAACGGTGACCTTCACTTGTTTTTCATTTTTTTGCTTTTGCAGTAACCTCTCAAGTTGGCTTGCAAGCCCGCCTATACTGTCACAAACTGAGCTCGAGCACGCCTCCTAAGCTCGACTCAAGTTCGAGCCGGCAGTTTGGCTGATGAGTCGAGCTCGAGTTTCGCATGACTCAAGATCAACTCGACTCGACCTGCTTACACCCATAATCCTGCCCCTATTGAGTTTCCAATATTGGCTCAGTAGCAAATCAAAGATACATGAGTTATGGTATGTTTCTTAGGATCTATATTAATTAGGCGATTGTTCTTAATCAAAGGCATATAAGATAGCTAAAGATATGCAAACATATTTACAAAATGTTTATAATCAAGACAACGTAGCCATGTGTTTCTAATAAGAATATGAGACTGCTAGTTACACCCAAAGTGATCTCTCCATCCAAAGATTATTTCTCTAGATTTCAAAATTTATGAACTGAATTTATTAACATGATCCATGCTAAAGTAACTATTGAATCTCTCTCTCTCTCTCTCATGTTTAAGACATTCAAAAACAAAACAAAACAAATCAACTCTTCATGAAACTTCAGAGTCAAGTTAAAGCTTCTCATTCCAATTTGATGAGTTGTGACCCTTCTTTAGATGTGTGCTTTAAATAATCACTTTGCGAGGAGCAATGCTTTAATGATACAAGCCACCTTTTAGTAACAAAAAAGGACAATAATGCAGTAACTTATACAGCAACTTATGCAGCTAATAAAAAAGGCAAAGAGAGAAATATGCAACAAGTAAATGCTTTAACTACATAAACTATGGATATATTACATCCAACCATGCAAAGAAATTGCAGAACTATCATAAGATGCATGGGAAATTACTGTAAGAAATCTGGGTACATCATTTAAGAATGTTGTACTTATCCCCAAAGAATCAAATGCAAAACAAATGGTTGTTGCTAATCAAAGGAGTTAGTTTAATAGTTAAGGATAAATTAACTCTTACTTCTAAGATGATGAAATGGTTCAATGGATGATTATTAAAGCCCTATTAGCTTTAAAGCTACAAGGTTAGAGTTTCAGCACCTTCATCTTGACTTGTGGATTCTAATGCATCCAATTATATAATTAGTTCCTTGTATCTTCTTTGCATTATTCGACCACATCATTGCTTATCTTCTATTAAAATTACGAATGATAGCACCTATTAATGCTATTGGAGACCCTAATTCCTCCATGAAAGATAACCTTGAATCTCCTAGGCTTTCTGCTAATCTAACTTCAATAAAAATTTTAACTGATAATAACCATTATGCTCAAATTTCTCACAAGGATTGCATTGTGAAGGATCAGATGATGGGAATGATACTCACGAAGGGGTTTAAAGTTGGATGATTGTTTCCCTAGTGTCCTACTATTCTTAAAGTTGTCCTTTTGTCTTGTACTACTATAAGTCAAAAAATATGAACTATCCACAAATATTTAGGTCATCTTAAATATATTAATTTATCTCATTTAATAAACTTTACTTGGTTGGATAATAAAAATCAATTATCTTCTCATTTTATTTTGATTACTCAACCAAAAAAATCATGAAAAGCAAGTCTTAATTTTCCATCACATAATTGTCACACTAAAATCTAATTTGAGCTGATTTATAATAATATATGGGATTACTCCAACTATATCGCAGTCAAATTATAAGAGATTTATGACAGTCATTGACGATCACAACAAATATATGAGTTTATTTTCTTCACTATAAATCTAAAACTTCATGTCTTTCAAAAAAGTGTATCCAAAGTTGAAATTCAATGCTCCTTCAACGTCAAACTGCTAAGATCCACTTATGAAGGTGAATATGTCACTTGATTTTCATGATTTTCTTCAAAAATGGGAATTATTTCCCAACAGTCATGTCCCAGTATATCTCAACTAAATGGTGTTTTGAATATAAGAATTTCCATTTATTAGATTTTGTTTTAATTTTGTTGTTTTAATCTTCTTTTCCCTCTAGATTCTGAGTTAATTAATTAATAGATTGACTTCTCGTGTCTTAATGTTTAAATTTCCTTACTATCGTCTCTTTCATATACATTTCAACTACCCTGATATGCATACTTTTGATTGTGTTTATTTTATTTATCTATCGTCCCAAGAACTTCATAAACTCAACGCTCAATCAATTAAATATGCATTTATGGGTTATAGCATTTCTCACAAATGTTATGCTTGTTATATGATCCATTATCTATTAGATTTTGCATTTCTTGTTATCTTTTTAACATAATTATTTTTCCCACAAATGTTCAACCTCGATCAGAAATATATGTTCTTTCTAATTTTGATAAACTAAATCCTTGCAACAAATGATTTAGACTTGGATAAATGCATAAAACAGAATATCCACTATACCAATTCCAAATCCAACTCGCCATTTAAACATGTGCAAATTGATCTACCATCTAAGCTCACCAGCTAGAACTCAGTCACTGTAAGACAATATTTCATAATGACTTGTCCTCTATATTGTTATGGATTCTGTACTATGCATTCGTTTGTATTATTAAGATATTATTATACATAA